ATGAAACATTCTCTCCAGTTGTCAAGATGACAACTGTTAGGACCTTGATTAGTATAGCAGTTAAAAGAGGCTGGGATTTATTTCAATTGGATGTAAACAACGCATTATTACATGGAGGCCTACATGAAGAGGTGTATATGGAGGTACCACAAGGACTGCAGATTGGTGTTCCTGGCTTGGTTTGCAAGTTGAACAAGTCCTTATATGGACTAAAACAGACAAACAGATAATGGTATGACAAGCTAACCACAACATTATGCACCAGGGGTTTTAGACATTCAGAAAATAATTACTCTTTGTTCTATAAAAAGAATGGGTTTTCAATTGTATTTGTAGCTATCTATGTTGATGATGTGATTCTTACCGGCACAGATGTAGAAGAAATTAAGGCACTAAAGGCTTTTCTCCATGATCAGTTTAAAATCAAGGATCTGGGGAAATTGCACTACTTTTTGGGACTGGAAGTGTTCTACAAAAACAATGCGGGCTCTCATTTCACAAAGGAAGTTCACTGCAGATTTGTTAAGAGAATATGACAGTCAATAAACCACAGTCTCTTCTCCTCTAGATTGTACTCTCAAGTTGAAGGCAAAAGAGGGAACATTACTAGCAGATCCTACTTACTATAGAAAATTAGTTGGGAAGCTTAATTTCTTTACCAATACAAAGTTAGATATTGCCTATAGTGTATAACACTTAAGCCAGTTCATGCAAATACCTAGAGAGCCACACCTCAAGGCTGCTTTCCATGTCTTGAGGTATCTTAAGAATGATCCATCCTAGGGCATTTTCCTCTCCAACGATCCAGATTGCACTGTAAAAGCCTATTGTGATTCAGACTGGGCTGCATGCCCTAATTCTAGACGATCAGTGAGTGGATATCTTGTCTTACTAGGTGATAGTCCCATTAGCTAGAAGTCCAAGAAGCAGGAAACAAACTCCCTCTCCTCTGCAGAAGCAGAATACAGATCAATTAGGAAGGTGGTTGGAGAATTAGTCTGGCTCAAACGATTGCTAGAAGAATTGACAGTACCTTGCCTACATCCTATACCAGTCTTTTGTGATAGTCAGACTGCAATACATATGGCAAGAAACCCAGTGTTTAATGAACGTACCAAGCATATAGAGGTAGATTGTCATTTTGTCCGCGACAAGTTATACGATGGCCTCATCACCTTGCATCACATCTCCACAGATGTTCAGCTAGCAGACATTCTTATCAAGGCCTTGACAGGCATCAAGCATACATCTGTTCTCAGCAAGTTGGCAGTGAGTTCCTCACCTCCAACTTGACGGGGGAGGGGGGTATTAAGAGTATCAGTTGTATTTATATGTATAGTCATATTCACAGTTAGTCAAAAATTGAGTAGACTAGTAAGGGTACTCTTGTAATTAGCTAATGGTAGTTGTTATTATGTTTTTCTTGCACATGTATATATAGGACATACGATAAAAAATGAAATCAGATTTTTCCCCCCCAAAATATCATTCTTCTAGAAGTCTCCACTGTTCTCTATTCTTCTCTCGTTTGAGCTCAACTGCCACAACAATGGCAGCTTGAGAGTACATTTGATCTCTCAATTTTAATATTATATTATATACAAAAAAATATATATACAATTTTATATACTTTACGATTATCGGATATAAATAGTTTCGGCCGCAAGTTAAAAGTAATTTTTGCCCGATTAATATTAATTTGTAATTTCCTGATATCAATATGAGGTGTTTATCATATACAATGCATTAGCTAGTTTTATTTAGTCAACGATAAAATATATAGAACTGCTCTACTTTTAATTCGAGATCTCTGTTTCAAGTCCTAAAAGTGAAAAGAAAATTATAATAGAAAGCACATTCCCTTTTAATGCGTCTCACGCAACTCAAATTCGAATTAGTTGGGAATAGAGAGAAGAATCATGGTATTTACTTGCGGGTATTAGCAAAAGCGTTACGTATATCTGGTGGAGATCATATTTACTCAGGTACCATAGTAGGTAAACTTGAAGGTGAAAGAGACATAACTTTGGGCTTTGTTGATTTCTTGCATGATAATTTTGTTGAACAAGATTGAATCCGTTGGGTCTTCCAATATCAATAGGTTGATTGTTTCGCTCTTGTATCTATCCAAAGGAAAAAAAAATCATTGTAAATATGGAACACTGAGTGAGAAACCATTTTTTTTTTACATTCAATTAACTCACATATATTCACAAGAGTGGTTGAATGAAACAGTAGGTATAATAATTCATATTTTTAGGTATGTTATTTTTAATTACCAGCAATACATGATTGGGAACTCTCGTCATAGAGAATCTTGGAGGAAATGTATTATTTCATTGTAACCAATTAAATGATTAAGACATTATAACAGAATGGTATTAGGCAATTTTCATTAACTAAATTTTATATAATTTACTTTTGTGTCTTCCACCAAATTGGTTCGTATCACACTAAACAAATGAAGGTTGCATTTATAAAGAATCAAACACTTGAAAATTTCAAAAGCATCCAATGTTCGTAGAAAAATTATAAAATGTGTGAAACTCTAGCAGATTTGAGCAAATATGCTTATTGATATTTATTTTTAAAAACAAGAAGAAGAAAAAACAATTGGATGTTGTTATTTTCCAATTGACTTGGCTTTTGTTTGTACAATTAGGAACAATAAACTTTCTAAGGTGGATTCTCTGTCCAAACTGAAAAGTTCAATATTGAAAAATTAAGGGATATTGTTCTTGTTTAAACGGTTTTTGTAATTTTAAATAGCTGAGAAATTTTCATTAATTAAAATCTTTTAAAAGTACATGATATAAAAAGAAGAAATTACACCGAATAAACTTTTTTAGAAGAGAAATTTTCATAAAGCACTATCTTTTAGTGGTAATTAGCTATCTATAGATACCATTTGCTATATTACGGATTGTAGATACGTTTTCTGTTGTTATAAAATGTATTGGATGTATTTAAGCTACTGTATTCATGAATAAAAATAGGCGTGAATCAGGGAAGTTCAGCTAATCAGTTGTTGTATTCGAGTGTATTCGACTGTACTCATGGCGTGAAACATGGGATTACAGTTGGACAGATTATTGTATTCGACTGTATTTACAGCGTGAAACAGGGGATTACACTATTTTTAAACGGAAAGTGAATCAATTAACATAATAGACTCATAATATAACTCAACAAACTCAATTATAACACACAAAATTTGTATTTCCAGTTATAAAAAAGATTCTCAACCGAAAAATACCCCAAAAATATAGCAATCTTCAGAGAAATTATATAATACATCTGAATACATAAATTATATTAATTAAAAAATATATATGAATACATTCATGGCATATAGCGAGACAGTGAATACAATGAAATACATAAAATAAAGCGGGATACATTGAAATACAGTGGAAAAAAAGACAGTGAATACAATGAAATACATGAAATATAGCGAGATACATTGAATTACAATGAAAAAAAGATAATGAATATAATGAAATACAGAAAAATACAGCGTGATACGTTGAAAAAATATTGAAATATATTAACAGAAAATCAAGGATTGTCCAATTGCATGAAGTAGCTACTAAAGATCATGCCAGAATTCACATTGTTTCTGAATCGTACGTAATAGTTCTTGTATCTTTCTCTTGAAATCTCTATAGAAAATTACATCTTTGTCGGACACAGTGAACTAAGCATATGCCTGGGAGGACTTTGAACAGAGATGCGCGCAAGAACGGAATGACTTCAAGTTTTCCATCAAAAATTCCTCAAATTGTAGCAAAGGTTTCAGGAAATTTGCATCTTTACCATTGCAGAACGAATGTTAACACATTAGTAAAATAACTAAAATCCAATACAAATTGACCAAACTCCGTCGTCTTTGTTCAAGAACAAACCCTAATTTCCGGCGAATCCGCCGTCGAGCAAAAAACCTGAATCTCACTGTGGATTCAATTTCGGTTGCAGAAATTACTAACACTGCTTGGGAACCCGTGACCGTCTTGTCAAAGGAGACATCCATAGCCGCACGACTATTTTTCTTATTCTTGTTTTTGTTCTTCGCCATAGCTATGCGAACAGGGAGACGTAAGGATTTCTTTTACAGCTGTAATTGCAACGGAAAGGTTTAGTGTTCAGCAAATCGAAATAGTCTAGCTTGTCTTGTCGGATTGCCTGATGGGCCAGGAGGCTGCTCACTAGCTGGAAGTCTTCGTGGTATACCAGGCAAAATCACCGTTTGTGACTAATGGTAGGTGACGTGCGTGAGAGGAATTTTGAGATTGAGTATCGTGTGGGGGAAGAGAATGACATGTATCAAAATCGAGAGAGAAAGAAAATAGTGTAACTGAATAGCGTATTTAGTGGTTTAGGGGTAGAAGATAACCAAAATTAGATATTTTGCTATAAACATTAAAAGGTATCTATAAAATATAATTTTTTTAAATGGTATTTATTTAAAATAAATAAGGTGTTAACCTTTACTATAGGACCCCATGAAAAAACTAAAAAAAATAACTCATCGCCAAAATTTTAAAGCATCAAGAATTACGACGATCATCAGAATTTTAGTCACAATGCTCAAAATTCTCGCAACATGCTTTAAAATTCTAGCAACGTACTTCAAAAGTTTGACAGTGTGCTTCAAAATCCTGGCGCAAGGCTATTTTTTCAAAAAAATTCATAATGGGATCAAAATTTAAACGGTGACAAAATGATCTAATTGTCCAAATCGCGCAATAAAAACCTATATGGGCCTAGATCCCATATGGAAGAATAAACCGAAATAACCGCCTACTCAATCTCTTATGCAAAAAATAACCAGTGAAAGCATAATATATGTATAATTTATATATTATGTGTGTATAATTATATATAATCTATGTATATTACTAGAAAAAATAAATAATAAATATTACCGGCTATTTGTGTAAATATCCCCATTTCAAACTCAGGCTGAGGCCCAACATACTAATGCAAATGGACCTCAAATAAGGACCCAAAGTCCGACTTACATTCGGCCCCAATTTCAAATTACATTTCGGCGGCGAACCCCTCGGCGGCGAGGTTCCGGCGAAACTCCTCACAAATCTCTCTCCGGCGAAATCGAGTTGTAAGTTCCCTCTTCCATTCCTAAATTTGACTAAAGCCATAATTCGCATTCCTATTTTCAGGATTTTTATTTGAGTTCTTATTGCTTATTATAAATGATTAAACAATTATCTTATGTTGTGAATTTCAGCCATAAATGTTGAATTTATTTACAAAATAGCTCTAATTATTCAAGCTTCCAAATTCTAATTATTGATTTAACCGTAGTTATTAGATTCTCTGCTGTTAAAGAGTTGAATTTAGTTGTAAAAGTAAAGGATATTTTGTTTCTTGCGAAGAAACTAGGGTTCTTAAAGGGAATGGCGAAGCCAATAATTTATAAGGTGATTACAAAAATAATATAATGTCAAGTATAGAATTTGAATGTGTGATCTAAAGCAATTTTTGAACCCTATGTCACTTGACTAGACTTTTTCCTAATATCAAGGAATTCAACAGCTTATATGTAATCAAAAAAAATGTTTTTTCCTATTTGCATAGTATAAATTGTTGACAAAGGGATTTAATTGAATTCGCTTTCCTCCACTTAGCTCCACCACTGCTTAAAGGGGAAATTGGTGAATTAAGCAAAAGTAGGAAAAGCAATGGAGGCTAATTTGGTGAATACTCCAAGAAAAAAGCTTGGTGATATCAGCAACTTACCGCTGCGAAAGAGATTCACTAGCGAAGATAAGAAGCCAGAACATATCCCAACTGCTTCTAAAGAGTATATAGAAATGATCCAGAAGGTACACTTTTTGTGTTTGTTTACTGGGTTATTGTGTTTAATAAATGTATGGACTTAGCTTTAGTTTCGCTTAGTTTACTTCATGGGAAATTTGATCCAGGAAAATTTGGTGTTGATGAAGATATTAGCAGAAAGAAAGTATCCTTTATTTGCAGATGAACGACATTTGCTTTACTGTTTTTGTACTATTTTTGTGTGAAATAGTTGTAGGTTGCCTTTTGTGCTTTGTAATAGTATTCATGCCTTATACTTGTTATTCGTTGCACTGTTCCTTGACTCTTGTTCTCCATAGCAAAATCATTGAAATAACTGGAGTAGAGATAGAGAAACTGAGAACTAATGTGCAGAAAATGCAGCAACAGAACAAGCAGCTTGCTCAAGCAAACAGTAAAATGCTTGCGGTTTGTTTGCTCTTCCCGTTTCCAAGCCTTTCAGGGTTTTGTTTCGTTAACTGAACATTTGATTTCCTTTCATGGTGCTAAAACTATTCGGTTTTCTTTTTTTCTTTTCCCCTCAGGAACTAAATTCAAATAAAGATAGGGTAAGCAATCTGATGCTTTCACCTGATATTCTTTTAAGGTTCGATTTCTCTATAAGCTGATGTAAGTGGTATTTGGCTGATATCAGCTAAAAGCATTACAACATGAACTTGGATGCACAAAGGGTTTACTTAAGGCTAGAAATTTTGAAGCAGAGGTGAATACAGTTTAAAGTATTCAAATTTTTTTTGCTTAGAAATATGTCATTTCTTTCTTTTTGACCAAGGAAGTTTTCTTTGTTAATCAGGAGCAACCAAGAACAAATATGTGCCAAAATCTGAATGATGAGGTACATAAACAAATTGTCGTAATGCAGTAATGTCGTAGAGTTGGTGTTAATTTACTGTTTTGCTGTTACCATTCAAAGGTGAAATCCATGAAGTGTGAGGAGACAGGAGATCTTTTGTTAGGAAATGGAGATGATGAGAAAGCTATAAATCTCAAAAGAAGGCCTCGGTCGAAGAGTGAGTGTAACCTCTGGTTTGATCTGATATTTGTTGTCAATAAGTACTTAGGAACTATTGTTTTATATTATTTCCCCACCTCTGACACATAGGTGTGGGCTCTTGTGAGCAAGTTCAATTTAAGGATAAGGCGGAAAACAAAAGGTTAGGCTGTGCGTATTAACCTGAATAATATATTGTTGGTTTCTGTAATGTTCAGATACTAAACATTGGTAAGAGAATTCTCCTAGCGAATTTGTTGTCTTTGCAGACCTTGTATAAGGAGGCAATCTGCTCGGCTTAACCCTGAGGCGCTGAAACTCAATGAAGTTTCTTTCGATGTACAAGACAAATGTGCTCTGCACCCTCCAACAAGTGATCCAGTGCTAGAAAATGGTTTGAATTCCATTAGCATATCATCTGATGGTCTAGAGTGCAATCCTTTATTGAGGTTTGAACCTGTACAGTTTGGAATATCATCTCTGCGTAGGCCATCAAGGGAGGCAGCTAAGAAGGTCCAGTCATACAAGGAAATTCCTGTAAACATAAAAATGCGAAGACCACGATGAACAACGTGTTCGGTGTAGTAACCTCTTTGATATCGGAGCAAGTGCTGAATGGTAAGATTCTTCATTGTATCTTTTTGTCAGGTTCAGTGTTATAATTTTTTGTTAAAATCTGTAGCTCTAATTCCATATCCACTCCTTCAAAGTTCTATTCCCCCTCCTCCAGAAATGTCATGGCCTATCTGTCTCCAGAATAAATGTTCTTAATAAAAATGCCGCCTGCTGTACAATCCTGATTAGATGCTTCTTTTATGGTGATTGATGATGAAATTCTTTTGGACCGATGACTGTGTCTGGCATACTTGCCACAGAAACCTAATGGTACTTATACTTAGTGGTGGAGCCAGAAACTGATGTAAGGGGATTAAAAGAAAATACTAGAATGACATAGTTGGGATTGGAACTTGTAACCTAAAGCAACTTTTCAACATTTTATATATAACCAAAAACTTCTATTTTTACCCTATTTGCTAAGTATAGTTTCCCGACAAAGGGGAATCAATTGAACCCCCTTCTTTCTTACAAGTTCCGCCCCTGCTTATACTGTCCATATCTTGGCTTAATAGAGGGTGTCTCTCCATTTTTATTTGTTCCTACGGTATAGAGATTAAGAATTTAACATAGAAAGGAAGTTGGAAGTTTCTCTCGTAATTTAGATGATGATTTTGTTGAGGTTAAAGGCATATCGATTAAAGGCTGAACAAATCAAGCAGATATGTATTATATGAACAATTAAGTTTAACGGTACTTTGTAAAAAAAATATTTTAAGAAAAATTTAGTATAAATATCTGCTTCCTTGATCCATTTCGTGCTACTGGGTTTGATTTTGAAGGTTGAATTTCATGATTTACCGTTGAACTGTTGTTTTAGCTATTCTGGAATATAATCAGTAACTGTGAAAGATATAACATATCACGTAGTAATTTATAATTTTTTATTGTCATTTTTTTTCTTTTCAGAACTCCAATTCATTTTGCCTTGTAAAATTAGTTAATTTGACCTCAGAAGTCAAATTACAAAGAAAATGATATATCTGACCACATTGGGTTGATAAGTTGATCTTTCTCTTTTTCTTTTTTTCTGAAGCTAGTACCAAAAAGAAATTGAGGAAAAGCATTGTCCATCTATTATGTTGACTGTTGAGTGTTAAGTGTTTCCTCACTAAAGGGTATCTCGACTTTTACCAGTTAGTGATTAAAATATCACTAACAACGCTGGACAAAAGGGTGAAAATCATTTTCTCAACTCAACTTTATTTGTTCTGGAAATCAATTAGCAAGCCTAACTAGAAGTCTAGAATTGAAGCCAATGATACCAAGAGTTTCGATCTTGGAAAACTAGTCCTAGCAGATTCATTAGAGTTGTTGAGGTAAAACTTAATCAAATTGTGCAAGTGACTTTGTTATAATCTCTATCATCTTAGTTGTGTCTATAAAGTGACGTTTGGACCATTTTCTTAAATCGACTTTGAAGAAATTTTCTAAGAATATTTTTAGATATAGTTTTAAAATTTAGTATGATTATTTTATCTAATCACATTTCCGAAAGATTGTTTACTCATTTTTTATATTTTATGCGGTGAGCATTGCGACGCTAGATTAACTACACATAGGAGTGACAATTTGACCCCCAAACCCATTTAACCCGTCAAATCCGCCCAAGGTTGGGTTGTTCATTGACCCGCCCATGTTTGAACTCGGCCCATCTTGTCCCAGCACATTTCAGTGTCACGCCCCAACCTCGGGAGGCGTGACCGGCGCTCAATGGAGTGAACCCAACTGAGCAAGGCTTATCAAACACTTTCTACCCAACTCAATATGATTAAGGAAATCATGCTTTCGTTTATTTAGACAATAGGAAAGGTTGTACATTCAACATTGATAGTTCATTTTATATCACAATCTTAAACTGTAGTTAAGTTTCCACGGTTCCATCCAGTTACAATCTAGAGAAACAAGAGTTTAGATTTATAACATAGTTCATAGACCCATCCAACACCCGTACATAACCCACACAAACGTCTACGGAGCCTCTAAGGATACAGAAGATAATTATGACAACGCCGGCAACAAGGCCCCGGCTATACCTCAAAAGTGGATATCTACAACAAAAGATGTACAACATAACCCCTTAAAGGAGAAAGGGGCTCACCAAGGCTTTGAGAGGAGGATACTCTGCTACGCGCGATCGGCACTATCCGCTATGGAGCCACCTACATTCATTTAAAAATGCAGCGCCCCCGGCAAAAGGGGCGTTAGTACCATGGAATAGTACTAGTATGTATAACTAAACACCATATTATTAGAAAGAACTATTATACAAGAACAAGGAAATCACATAGAGACAATCGAAAGCTTTTAACCGAACACCACATCATCAAATACAAGAATCATATAATCTTTCGCATAATTTCCATAGCTTTAGTTTGGGGCACTTCATTCTATCCATCATCACTCATAATACCACTGCTTTCTAGAGCGGAGTCCGATCACGACCTGATCGGCTAGGTTGTCTCATTTGAGACATGTACTTCAATCACAATCTTATTCTCCCTTTCCGGAATTCAATATCAGCACAATACCACCATGTGTGCGGCATGGCGTCCGATCACGTCCCGATCGGCTAGGCCGCCTTACCGGGGCGTTGTTCCTTTCTCATTAATCATCTCGTTTCAATCTTTTATTTCACATATATTATTTCATAGGCACTTAGGGCCACAATTATCACATCATTTCTATTTTCAATGTTAACTTTGCAAGTTGGGACCACAAGCACATACAAAAGCAATTCAACTTGTAAGTATAGGTAAGATTTTACATAGTTGGCACAACAATCTCAGTTTTAATCTTGACGTGAAGTCTAGGCATTTCAATACATGGTTCATATTCTTTGCACATCTTTAAATATCGAGAATAGTACATTACACACATTGAGGCACACCTTTCATGTATATATATAATTTCAAAACCAATTCATGTGAAGTAACAACCAATACATCAATCAAGTTTTCAGTCTTACCACATTTGCACATATACCAACGGAGCTCAATTTCTAATATGAGGGGTTTTTAACCATACATACCTCAACAAAGATTTCTTTAAATTCTTACAAAATTCCGGGACTCTTAGCAACTTCAATAAATTTTATGAAAATTACAAATTGAACCAAGAATTAGAGACATGATTAAGATTCTAGCTCATTTGAGCACATTATCAAGCATTAGGTGTGCATTGTGATTATAGGACCCTTTTGTAAGAGATTTTCATTATTTTAAACCCCAATTGCTATCTTTTAAGTTCACAACCTCCCCATACCCTATTATCTTTTATGCATGCAAGAAAATTCATTTTTATACCCATGAACCCCCGAGCTAATTACTCACTCTAGTGTGAATTTCGAAACCAAAGGCTAGAGCTCAAGTTCTTACCTCTTGGGGTGAAGGTCTAGCAGTTTTACTTGATAATCTTCAAGAGTTTAGGCAAGGATTGAGTGGGGACTTGATGAAGATCACCCTCTCTCTCTCTAGAACTCCCTCTCTCTCTAGAACTCCCTCTCTCACTTTATTTGCAGCAAAATAACATAAAAGGGGTCTAATGGAGTATTTTTAATGGGATGAGGTCGGGTTTTAAAAGTTAAAAAAATAGGAGCCCCGACGAAATATGTGATTGTATAATGGACATGCGGCCCGCAATAGGGATCGGAAAAATGGCCCCAAAAACCTAAACAAATTATCCGGGTATGCGACAAAAATGCGGTCCGCATACCTGTTCTGCGGTCGCATAATGCACCGCAGAACTGCCTCTTACAAAAATTCCAAGGAGATTATGCGATGACTATGCAGCCCGCATATTGATTATGCAATCGCATAATTGGCCGCATAGTTGACCTCAAATTAACCATCAAACTGTCTGACTCTGCGGCGACTATGCGGTCCGCATAGCTATTATGCGATCGCATAATGGATCGCAGAAACGCACTTTTAATGCACATTATTCCTAATTTGGTACTACGAGCTTTCGAGTTTTTAGAGTAGAAATTTCACGGGGCCTTACATTCAGCTCATTTAAAGTTGCATTGATTTTTAGTTCAAATTGATCCATGAGCAACTTTACTAAATATTTTAAAAATAATTCTTTTTTAGTTGATATTTTATATATGACCATGACAAACGAAAAATAGTCTTATTTGGTAATTAAAAAATTCATAAGAAACAATACACATTTATTAAAGTTAGGTAAGAGTTGGGTGGATTGGGTTATGACTCAAATTTTAGCTCATCTTGACCTAGCCAATTTTAGCTCAAGTAGCTTTTTGTGGTATTATCGTTAAAATAGCACGGGCTAGCCAGTTTTCGGACTCGTCATTCAGAAATAGCCAGTGTTTGCCAAGTCATTAAAAAATAACCACTATTTTGCTGCAACAGTGACCGGTCCAGGATAATATACTGGAGTTCGGTGCACATGTGTATGAACTTCCAGCATATTATGCTGGACCGATATACTTTGCTTGCTCCAGTATGATATACTGGAGTTCCAGTATATTATGTTGGAGTATTTTTCGGATTTTGAACAGTGTTTTCGTTCAGATTTATCTTTACATGAAAAGTGGCTAAATTTTGATGACTTTTGAAACTGTGGCTATTTTTAAATGACCACTTGTAAATCTGGATATTTTTGAATTTCTCCCGGTATTATCACTTTTAGCCCACGCGAGAAACTATATAAATCTGGTAGTCAAAAAACTGTATAAAATTTGTATAATTTTTGTATATAACATAATATATATATANACTTTTTACATGTTAATGATCCGCCCATTTATTGATTCGACCCATTTTAACTCGCAGTCCAATCTGCCCATTTATTAAGCCCATTTTGACCCACCCAATCAATCCAACCCGCCCATTACACCCCTAGCTACACATCAGTCTCCATCGAGACGAGTTGAAAGGTTCTACGAAGGTTGAAATTTAATTAAAAGAAATGAAAGTTTTGTTTAAAATAAATATCAAGAAATGAATTAAGACGAGTTTGTAAAATCACACAACAAAATAGTGCATGCATAATGGATCTTAACTTAGTGAAGCAAGTGTCGCCACTCTCACAAACACCTTTATCCTTTCATTTTCAAAATGGAAATTGACACTTTATCATCCTATTTGATACATATTTTTAAGATGTCAATCGTGATAAGACTCCACTTAGACTTACTATTATCATTTCTTGTTTTAATGGCGGGAAAGTGAGTAATCCTAAAATTTCTGTTACTTTGAACTTCTTGA